AAAAAATGTAGGTATAAACTGTGACTTTATGATTCTGAAAAGGTTTTAAGTATCTTCTCTTTCTGCAAAATTCGATACCAGCTACTAGTGTGTCAATTGTACACAGACTCTGTTCACGCCAGCACTGTAGAGTAGTAGTTAGTTATGTGTGTATAGAAACTGGAGCAGCCAGATCATGAAATGCCCATAATCTAACCTGACATGTTCGATACAATCAACGTATTGAGGGGAGTACTTGAACGCAGACGTAGTTCAGAATCCACTGGTCAGTTCATCTACAGCAGTGGTCTCCGACCTGGGAGAGGGAGCCTCTACCCCCCTCCCCAGGGTAGCACTAGAAGGTTTCAAATTAGTAATATTTTTCTACTTGTAATAAGCCGTTATATGTAAAGGTTCCTTTTCTACGCCTTTAGGCGTATAGGGCATACAGGGCTGGACCTGTATGCTTATAGTCCAGTCGGCACAAGATGTGGTCAGCATCGCGCCATGCCGTTATATGAGTACTTACATTTTGTATCAGTTTATTTGTAAATTAAAAAAAAAATTAAACTATTTATAAATTAAAACGACCAGGAAATATTTGTTTCCATGAGCAGTTTGTACATCTACCATTAAAAACCAAATTAGTATGAAAACACGCGTGCTAAACTGGAAATTAATAACCTTCTGACACAAACGTTTCTCGATACTTTCTTAACTCCCCCCCCCCCCCACCACACACACACTTTGTTGCGGTATTTTGTGTCTTCTCTATTTTTAATCATATTTTGTTATTGTAGGAGGAGGGAGGGGGCGTGGAGGTCTTGCCATATACAAGGTGGCCGTGGGGGTTTTGCCATATACTCAAGGAAGCGGTTGAGGTCTTGCCATATACAAGGTGGCCGTGGGGGTCTTGCCATATACTCAAGGAAGCGGTTGAGGTTTTGCCATATACTCGAGGGAGTGTGGAGGTTTTGCCATATAAACAGCCAGTTCGATTTAGCTACAGCAGACAGCTTTGCGCTGATCTCGACTATGGTATGGAGCGTCGACCGCTGAGTAGACATTGGCAGATTACTGAACATAAAATGTCCTAACAGTACTATAAACCAGAGGTAGGCAGCAGAGTCGCCCGAGCTATACTTGAGTCTGACTTGAGCCATCTTACTAACAACTTGCGACGACTCAGGGTTTTGTCTATCGACTTGCTACTTGCAGCTTCCACAACTTAGTGCGACTTGTTCTTCGCCACTGACCGCAATAAGTTTGGGCAGAGAAATAAAAAAAAATTAAAAAAAAAATAAAACGGGGCTACAAAAATTCAGTTTTCTACAAATTTTTTAAAATATCAAAACTTTCCGCATGCAAATGAATTTATCAGTTCAGCTATTTACATGCAAAATAAAAAATCTAACCTGTGTTGGCTGTTATTTTGGTATTGTAACAGACTAATAAGTTTAACCTGCAAGCATTGTCCCAGGCACGACTTGCCACTGACTTCATGCATGAAGGCATTTGACTCGGGACTAGACTTGGATGCATTCTTGATGACCTGGACAAGCGCTGATAACTTAGTCCAACCCCTGCTATGTAAACAAAAATTATGGGATTGGTTCTGCTGTGTCCTTTAGAGGTTATACGTCTATTTTTGGTTTACTTTTGTCTTTTCACTGAGAGCTGATTTTCAACATAATTTTATTTTATAGACAGTGATGACTTATTCACGCTGTTCACTCGTTCCTAAAAGTCAATGATCCCACCTGTCTTGTCAACCACCAACATATTCGTAAATCATATAAGTAACTTATACTCACATTTTATTTGGTTTCTCTCTAGCAACATGTGAATCATACTAATGTTGAATCGAAAGCAAACGTCCCACCCCCTTACCACTCCTCAGCAGTTAGAAAAGAGAACAGAATAAAGAACAATATACCCGCTATTGTAATCTAGCAACAGCTGCGACATTTTTATCCGTACGGCCTTCTTGTGTAACACGCATGTAATTCCCGTGAAATAGAAAACGGAGCATGAACCTCCACTCCCAGATGATAATTAGCCTCTCCTGTAAAAATACTTGCACTGATGGGCTTGGCATGTTAATGGCGGATCTCGTTGTGTACTACGAAGCTAACTAGAGAAATTATGAAACAATAATGGCGAATTCAGAACATCCGGGTTAAAGGTATGAGACTCCAAGGTCAATGCCGCTATTGTTCGGATCACGTCCTGTTCGTTGTTTGATCCCACATCTTCTGTGTGGTCAATGCCTGCCCTTACTGTGTTTCGTAGGATTGTGTGTATACACACTCCCATCATTCTGTGTGGTCAATGGCAAAAGGGAAAAAAACCATACATTTAAAATGATACTGCAAACCCACGACCACACGATCTGCAACCAAGGGTCTAGCCGCTAGACCACGGCAAATCCTAAACCCTAACTGTAGTAATGTGTAATCTACCGCCTCTCCAGAACGATAAAACAGAGCTCTGCAGGGGAGAAGCGGTGGATGAGGAAAGACCTGGCTACACAATTTGGCTGATTGGACTTAACGCGTGCGTGGGCTTGGGAGCTCCATTTTTGAAAGACCCAATGCCTCTAAACTCGCATATCGTTAAATGCGAATTATTTAGGAGATTGCTGAATTGGAACAAGTTGGACAGAAAGGCACATGTATCGCAGCGTAGCTGTAAACCACAACAGATCATGACATCCGCCCATTCCACGTCATGTTCTAGGAATAATCGCTTATGCTGGCCTAAACGGAGTGTGATTACCAAGATCCGACACGTTAAGAAAAGTTCTTCACAATCATAGCATGGGATTTCAGGACCTTTGTTGTCATCTTTTCTGCAACCATTTCTTCCTTCATTCTCATTTGGCACTCACAAGACCGCCCCAAATGCATGAATGAAAACGTATGTATAGACCTAACTGTAAACTGAGTGAAGTCCACGGGGAGAGCCTCATACTAAATGATAAACAGTGCGTCACATATCATTCGATCGAGAGCCCTACAAAATGACAAACAGTGGGTCACATATCATTAGATCGAGCGCCCTACAAAATGACAAACAGTGGGTCACATATCATTCGATCGAGAGCCCTACTAAATGACAAACAGTGGGTCACATATCTTTCGATCGAGAGCCCTACTAAATGACAAACAGTGGGTCAGATATCAATTGATCGAAAGCCCTACTAATAGACAAACAATAGGTCACATTTCATTCGATCGAGATCCCTACTAAATGACAAACAATGCGTCACATATCATTTGATCGAAAGCCCTACTAAATGACAAACAATGCGTTACATATCATTTGATCGAAAGCCCTACTAAATGACAAACACCGGGTCACGTATCATTAGATCGAGAGCCCTATTAAATGACAAACAATGCGTCACATATCTTTTGATCGAGAGCCCTATTGAATGACAAACAATGCGTCACATATCTTTTGATCGAAAGCCCTACTAAATGACAAACAATGCGTCACATATCATTTGATCGAAAGCCCTACCAAATGACAAACACCGGGTCACGTATCATTAGATCGAGAGCCCTATTAAATGACAAACAATGCGTCACATATCATTTGATAGAAAGCCCTACTAAATGACAAACAATGCGTCACATATCATTTGATCGAAAGCCCTACTAAATGACAAACAATGCGTCACATATCATTTGATCGAAAGCCCTACTAAATGACAAACACCGGGTCACGTATCATTAGATCGAGAGCACTACTAAATGACAAACAGTGGGTCACATATCTTTCGATCAAGAGCCCTATTGAATGACAACATCCTATTTGCTGATACAAAAAGTTCAAATAAGCCACAGTCATCCTATAGTCCAACTGTAACTGCCTGACAGACACGCCGGCCGCCGTTGTCTGCATCCAACGCTTCTGCTGAAAAACAAGCTGTAGAACGAATGACAAGCCTGCTGGTCACACAGCAGCTCTACTGATACAGTAAACGAACTCGCTGTGTTTTGGTTAAAGATATCATGGATAATATTCTACACTTGGATAAAGTCACAATGCTCTCTCATAAGTAGTGACGACATACTCTGAGAAAAGCTAACACGGATACAATATTCAATCAGCGCAAGAGAGTCCAAGCTGCGATGTAAGACGCTGTTAGCCATCTCACCCACAAAGGTCCCCAGGTACTTCCTAAGATTAGGATTCCCCAGTGTAACTGTTTAATAGGGTTGAACAGGTTTCAAGGCGCATTTGCTCCTCTTCGATAGTAATCCAAACACTGCCATTTTGAGTCACTGGGTGTCAGTCCTTTTGTTTTTGTTTTTTTTTGTTTTTAAATATTAGTGCGAGACATGTTCGGATTATGTTGTGGGACATTACTTGTTAGACGTTGGTGAGTTTATTTCTCTAAGAAACGAAAACGTGTTTTAGTGTAAAAGACATGAGAGTAAATACTAAAGCTGGAATTGATATGCTGACTAGTTACATCGCAATAATATAATTATCACATTTCTGAAAAAAAAAAAAATGTAAAATTTTTTTAACTAAAAGAAATAGAAAGTTATTTTCTTTAAATGTGCTAAGTATTTGTTTGAGCAATTTATTCCCCATCTTAAATGGTTACTGTACAAGCCATTTTCAATGCATGTACACAAATATTATTGAAAGCCCTTCGAAATGTTTAGATGAAGCACAAAAATCATATTATGGTAAGGAAACGATGTGCAGTGAAAGCAAGAACACTTGCCGGCGATGACTGACCGCTGTGGGAACTGATTCCCATAAAGTTTAACAGCTTCACTAGACTCCAGTTTTCATACATTCAAGCCAAGATGGAGACACGGATGCCTTTAAGCATTTTCCTCTGCGTTTTATCAGGTAATTAAAATATTTTTGTTAAATAATAATTTAATTGATTACCATTTTTATATTACATCTTTCTTGTGTACTGTATTAATGTCATTGCAAGGGTGTAAGCATGTATGGATTGTGTACTGTATTATTGTCATTGCAAGGGTGTAAGCATGTATGGATTGTGTACTGTATTATTGTCATTGCAAGGGTGTAAGCATGTATGGATTGTGTACTGTATTATTGTCATTGCAAGGGTGTAAGCATGTATGGATTGTGTACATTCCTGTTAAGATGTCCCTGATAGTGGAACTCATGAGCGACCATGTGGCTTTAAAGTCAACAACACTTCATGCTGTGACTACCAGAAAATATGAAAGGACATCAAATGACCAGCGTTGTATTGTCCACTTCGGTTGCTGGGTGCTGTTTGGTGCCCAAAATATATGCTAAGTGCTTTATAGTCTATCTGCAGAACGGCCCTGAATCAATTACTACAAAGTTTCTGAGAAACAGCATTCTTGAAACCAATATCACGAGTATCTTTAGTAGCTCTTAGGGGCTGTTAAAGGCACTCTTGATATTAGTTTGAAGAATGCCTATGTTGTACACTCTGGATTACCCCCTATGTAGACTATGTGTGTACAGAGCACTTATTTATGTTAGTCCTTATAACATGTATGTTTACGCATTGATACTCCCTAGTATCTGTAAACAACCAAGTATTTAGGCCTAGGGTGCCAACTCCAATATTCCGCTGGATCTCTCCTTGATGGATGTTCAGTTTAGAAAGATAGAAGCGTGCATAACCAAATTTAATTGATCATTAGCTTGCACAACATATGTACATAGAGGTCGTGATAATTTTCTTAACCTTACAAACGTACTTTCGTTTTATTTTAAAAAACGCAAACTTTCTCGGTTTAAATCGCTGACATACAGAGTTTATTTACATGTCAAAAAGCTTATTTCTTGTGGTTAATTAAATGATGTTGAGTGTGTAAATGTTAGTGTAAGTGTGTTTATATAGAACATCTCATACATTCAAGCAAACTAATTATTGGGACAGTCAGCCCTTTTTTACAGCATTCAAATACCGATCAGCGCAAAGCAAATTTATTTCCACCTAATGATTCTAATACCAGACATGGTCACTCACAACAAAACATTAAAAAAAAAAATTAGTAACCGTGGAAATGAGATGTCTGAGAAGAGATGTAGGTAAGACCAAAAGAGATAAAATCAGGAAGGAAATCCAAAGAGAAAAAGTCGGCACAGAACAGCTTTTAAATGAAATGCAAAGATAGCATCAAATAGTTTGCCTACTTATAGATAATTATTTGTGACGCTACACAATACAAGGAAAACACTAAAACAGAAGAAAGACGTAGAGCTCAAGTAAGACTAAGAAAAAGACAGAAATCAAACATCAGAGAAAATCTATAACAGTACGATGTTTCTATGGTCGAGGCCATAAAAAGAGCAAGAAGTAGTAACTTATATCCTCTTCGACACCTGAAGCTGTAAAAGAGGAAGTGAAACAGCAGACAATCGTATCGAGTTCACGTATATTTTGTACTGCACTTCAAATAATCGTAACGAGTCCACGTATATTTTATACTGCACTTCAAATATTTACATGTTTGTCTTTCGCACACGGATGCACACGCACTCAGGTTCTGGAACACGACTGCAGTCTAAAAGTGGATGAACAACCAGAACTTTCCGCCAGAATGTATAGCTGGTGAACGCAAAGAATATGAAAGAGACTTTCAGGGCTCTAGTCACAGATTTGTGTGGAATTTAGCCGCATATATGTGTATAGTTTATTCACTGATTTTGTTTACGTAAGGCAAAAATTTGTATGGAATTTAACTAAATATCTATGTAGAAGTTAGCAATGGATGTAAATGGAATAGGGAGATACATTTGTATAAACATTAACCAGAGCCGTCCCAACGTATGAGCCCGCTAGGCATTTTCAAGGAGCATAAGGGCCTTTGCCAATCTGTGTACGTAAAGTGACTTAATGTCCTTTGCCAATCTGTGCACGTAAAGTGACTTAATGTAAACACAAACATATTTGACGTTTAAATCAATTCCATGTAATAAAAACAACAAAGTGAAGGTCCCTTTTCCATGCCTTTGGGTTAATAGGGCATAGGGCTAGACCTGAATTTTATAGACCAATCAGCACAAGATGGGAGATGTCGTCAGCATCACGCCGGCCGCCTTCACTTCCCGGGACTGCACCCATTCAAGGCTGGGTCGACCTGGGAGCCAAGGTCATTTTTGAAAAAAGTCCGGCTACGCTAGGGAGCAAACCCATGACATTCCGTGCATGCCCAGCGTGTAGATTTGGAGAAAATAAAACAAGCACTGGTTTCTCTATCGGCTGGACAATGAACGACTAGCAAATACAAGGGGAGAGGCAAAAGGAATAAAGAAGGGGGACACATGGAAACCTGGAACCGATCCTTCTCACAATTCTGTGGACTGATGTTCTAGAAAGAATGATGAAACAAGCAGGGTCCTACAATCACAGAACATCCTTGTCGTAAACATCCTTGTTATCGCGAATATACTTGTCTTTGAAAACCTGCCTCTATGAAACTAGAGACAAAATCAGTAAATATGATTTCAAAGTCAGGCTATGTGACGAGATGCGGATGAAAGTGATGGGGGAAAACGGGAACGACAATGAAGTCTACATCTTAGCAGATATGATGGATCAGCAGAACTTCCAAAACAGATATTTCCCAGTAAAAATTGAAAACTTCCAGGTTCCTTCCTATTTTGGACACTCTCATCTTTTAACTGACATGACAATACCTGCAGAGGCTTTTTTACAGTTTGGAAAACTGTTTTCTTTCCGCGGCGAATTGGAAATCGTTGCTCCTGATGAACTTAGGAAAAAAGTGTAAACCTCTGGCTAATATGTATGACAAAGACCTGCATTATAATGACATTTGAAATGATTCTGAGTATCCCAAGCACTACATGGCTCTTAATGAACAATTGTGAGACTCTTCCTGCACTATATACAAAATTAATTTGGAAATTTTAAAGTCTATTTTCCCGAATGTTAAATTTGCACTCAGAGTATTCAAGTGCATGAGTTACCAACTGTACAGGGGAGCGTTCTTTTTAAAATTTCTAATTTTTTTTCTAAATATGCTTTGTAGCACAATGAGACAGTATCGTTTGACCTGGCTTCCACACATGTGCAGGGAAAATGACCTGAAGACCCTTGACTTCAAGCCAATAAAAAGCAAATGTGTCGAAAGATAATGCCTTAATGCTTGTTATTACAAGGAAGTTCCAAGTAGTTTCATACTGAGCGGTCAAGTCTATGTATATGTTTAAACTCCAGTTTTGTTAAAGTGCCAATTAAAAAAAAATATGTGTTTAATATTACCGACCATTTACAAGTCCTTTCTGTGAGCAATTGTCACAGGGGACCCAGCATACTTATTCGCCCACAGGTCCATACTGCTGTTTAGACGGCCCTGATACATATTTGTATAGAAGGTCGAAAATGGATTTGTATGGAGGATAAACAGCATTTTGTGTGGAATTTAACCAACTATTTGTGCGATGTATAAATATATATTTGTGTGGCATTTAACCATTATTTTTTGTGCAGCATAATGATAAATGTGTGTGGTATTTAACCATTATTTTTTGTATAGCATAATGATAAATGTGTGTGGTATTTAACCATTATTTTTTGTGTAGCATAATGATAAATGTGTGTGGTATGTAACCACTTATTTATGTGGAATTTATCAGTGAATTTTTATCGATCAGAAACGTACAATTGTGTGGAACTTAGTCACAGTTTTGTGTAATTTAGCCCTGAAGTTATTTGTGTGTTTTAGACCTAGTGTGCAATTAACCTAATACCCATTCTCATGTGGGAGAAGTTTTCCTTATTTTGAAGCCCACCCTGTTTTTTTTTTTTTTTTTTTTTTTTTTTTTTTTTTTTTTTTTGCTGGGGGCACTAATACAACCTGATAGTTGAACGGGGTTTCTCAGACTTCTCCACTGGTAATCCTTATCCGCATGGTGGCAATTTGCTTCACCGGGTGTTTATAGCTCAGTGTGATGTCCTAGTGGGGACAGTCAGTCAGTCAGTCAGTCAGTCAATCAGTGTGCAATTTAAGGATCAGTGTGTAAGTACTTTAACTATGAGACCGAGAAGAATAACTCCAATCAACCGTCAGAGAGGGACATTGGTTGATTGACACATCTTACTGTTTTAACTGTGAAAACTTACGTCTATTTAGGTCTCCCAAATCGTAGTTTGCTTTCTTGTATAAGTATGTGATCAAGCTTTTGCCTTAATTGCTTTTATTTTAATTATTCCATTTCGCCATCACATTTTCTCAGTGGAAGATTTACAGCTAGTAATGTAGTCTCATCATAGAAATCAAATTTCCATGGAAACCATCTCTATAGAAGAACTGCAAGTGCTCTGGGAACTGGTTTCCTGAAGGGGAAATAACTTCAGTAACGACTCCATAACTCTAGAACATTGCAAATAATGAATAATGAGAATTACGAATTTGGCTGTTTGTTTCATTATAATAGTGAATACGTGCATTGTCCATTACTTTTCCCATAGGTTTTTGCTATAGCAACCCTTATTACGGATCAGATGACGAGTACCGTCTGGTGAGAGACCTGATGAAAAGCTATAATAAACAAGTCAGACCAAGTCTCTTCAACAACCTTGCTTTGAATGTCAGCTACGGTGTTGCCTTGGCACAGATAATTGATTTGGTAAGAATGTCGCCAGAAACTGTGTTTGTTGTTTGTTTATCAGCTACAAATTTGAATACATGTTTTATATGTTGCTGCTAGAAATTATTTCTACTATCTGATGTGATATTTTTTTTTCTCCAGAAAATAACGTTTCCATCTTAAACTGTAATGTAGTTAGTAGAAGTTAATTGTTATATCTTACACAGAAATGTCGCCATCAGAGACAGGCAACGTTGACTCAAATAATAATTTTACTATCCCAAATAAAGTTTTATGTTTTAAAAGATGTTGTCGCTGTCAGGGACGAACTCATAGCTAAATTAAATGTTATATTTCAAATGATAATGTTACTGTTGAAAATTAAATATAATATCTTCGGTGATAATGTTACTATTAGAAATTCGTTGTCAGAAAATAAATTTTATATCTCAATTGAGAGTGTTACTGTCAGAAATTCGCTATCAGAAATTAAATCTTCTATCTCAAATGATAATGTTACTGTCAGATATTAAATTTTAATCTCCAATGGTGATATCACTATCAAACATGAACGCTTACGTATTGAAGACCTACTTATTATTAGCCGAACTGATTCTGGTCAAATACACGGACGCATGAACAGAAAAAAAGAGAGACAGGTGGATTACTGGACACGGATAGACACACACACACACACACACACACACACACATATATATATATATATATATATATATATATATATATATATATATATATATATATATATATATATATATATATAAAGATATCCATATTCGTGTAAAAAGTTAACGTCTTTTGAGGCGGAACTGGCTGAAAGTGAGCAGGAAAAGAAACATGGAAAGACTGCGTCAACAATCAATGCGTTTGTGTTCAAAAATTCCAGTTGATGAAACCTCTAAAAATATTGAATTTTCTCATAATTTCTGGCCGAAATTTTCCGAATATTGTAAGACATTCCTTGGTGATTGTAACGTTCTTCGGCTGCCGGTGAGTCACAGCTGGGCATTTTTCGTCACGCTGTTTTGGTAATGGAGGCTTTAGTGTGGAGATATGTGGGCTTCTGTTTCTCTTTTATCAAGAGTCATTTGAAAAGGAAAACTAATGCACCATTGTATATATTTAGTTGGTTTTCAAGTTAAGAAGATGCAATCAGTAAAGAAACATAGATCTTTGTTAGGTTATGTCTTCTTCTTTTTCTTTTTCTTCTTCTTCTTCTTCTTCTTCTTCTTCTTCTTCTTCTTCTTCTTCTTCTTCTTCTTCTTCTTCTTCTTCTTCTTCTTCTTCTCTTCCACCTTATACCTCATCGAAGTGTCCGGGGAGGAGGAAGGGGGAGATGTAATGTTCGTTGATGAGCTCTGTCAAGAGCACTATTAAGACTGATGTTCATTTCTGTAAGGCTGTTCCTCATGCCATCACTCCATATTTTCCGAGGTCTTCCACTCGCTCTATACCCATTGTAACGTTTTAGTGTGGCTCGCTGTGGCAGATAGTACCAGGGCATTCTTGTTAGGTGTCCAAACCACTTCATTTGTTGTTCTTTGATTACCTGTAAGACTGGCTTTATTCCTAGTATTCGTCTGATTTCATGATTTCGTATTTTGTCTTTCCTTGAAACTCCTGCAGCTCTTTTAAGGCATTTCATCTCTGTTGTCACAATTTTACGTTCAGTGGAGGATGTAAATGTCCACGTTTGGCATTAATAGCATAGTGTTGGCCCAAAAAAATAGTTCTGATAAGATTCACTTTAGTACTCCGAGGTATCTGCTTGTGTGTCAACAGGGGAGATAGTTGCCCCATTACTTGATTAGCTTTGGCACAACTGGAGCTAATTTCTCTGTCCGGTTTTCCGGCAGATGTAAAAATTGCTCCCAGATACTTAAATTCCTTTGTTTGTCTCAGGGTTTTATTTTTTAATTTTATTTCTAAATTGTCTTTATGTCTTCCTATCATCACTGTCTCTGTCTTTGTTAGTTTATATGATGTGTGGAAATGTTTGTATGTTTGTGTGGCGTAGGGCGGCTGGAGGGTTATCTGAGATGGTTTAAAGTTACGTAGGTGAGAATATATCCATAGATTCGTTTGAGAAGACGTAATTATCGTAAAACACTGAAAAGAATATATTTGGGACGTTTACACAAAACAATCAAAGCTATATAACACCTAGGGAAGAGGATGATGATGATGGAAGTGGTGGTGGCAGAGATGGTGATGACGATACTGATGATGGTAGTTATAGCATGGTGATAGTAGTGGTGGTGATGACGACTCAGTAAAGGTCGTGTTAGTACTGGCTAGTACAATTGTTTAAGCTGAGATCTCATTTAGTACGAAAAATATTTTTTAATGTAAACATCATTGTCATGTAGCTGGTCCTTTGCAGAACGTCGCTCTCATCACGGTCTGCCTGAAAGAAACACTGTCTCTCGCCAGCTCTCCCGTCTCGTGACCTTTTTTAGCAAAAGTTTCATTTATATCTTGTGCCCATTTTCCTGCTGGTCGGCCCGGGTCCCTATTTTCTGGCATCAGACTATTATTATTTGGTTACAATCTGCCGTTGCGCTTGATATGATCAAATTTATTCAGTTACTGAGTGAAAGTAAAGTCAAGGTCTCTTTTCCACGCCTTTAGGCGTATAGGGCATGTAGGGCTATACCTATATTTTATAGACCAATCGGCACAAGATGGGCGATGTGGTAGGCCATTACTTCTCGGGACTGCAAGCGGTACCCACTCAAGGCTGGGTCGACTTGGGAGTCAAGGTCATTTTGGAAAAATCTGGCTCCTCCAGGGAGCGAACCCACGACCTTCCGATCCGCACGTGAGCATCTAGCCGCCACGCCACGGTGACTCCCCACTGAGTGGCTCACAGAGAATGTGCTTGTTACGGCTAAAGGTGACAAGGAAGATAAAATAGAGTAAATCAATGTGTATATCATACTGGTAGGGAGTAGAGAAAACCTGGTTGTGTAGAGTTCACTTCCTACTCGGCTTTGGTAGTTATGTGTATCCACAACTTTGTGTCTCGTGTACTTTCAATCAGCTCTGACACAGATGATCCTCCATGCCATGATGTCAAACTGTCCAGCATCTTTTCTCTCAATTCCCCGCTTCCACTCTAACTTTCCCACTGTTACGATTTTCTCTCCATTTTCATGACATGATAAAAGAAGTAGATTGTCTACATCTGATGTGGGCAATCAGCTCTCTTCGTGAGTCAGTTTCTTTCAAGACATTCTCATTACTCCTTTTTTTTCTGACCAGGATATTCTCATCATCCATCTATAAAACCTAATGTCCGCTGCTTTCACACAATTTTTCACAAATCTACCAACTGGCCATGATTCACTTCCGTATATCCAGATATTATTTATTTAGCCTTTAAGAATTCCCTTTCTCGTCTCAGTTGAAACAGAAAGATTGCATAGAATATTCTTGACTGACTTGGTTGACTCTGCTAGAGCTATTCTACATTTAACCTCTTTAATGCCTCTTCCAACTCGACACTACCGGTATCAGCCATGAGAAACATGACAAACAGTGAAACCAATCTCAAATTATCTTCAAACATTAACTAGTGTTTGTCTAAAATAGAGGAGAACACATGGGGTAACGATCACACTTGCCGAGCTTAGGAAGGAACTTAATAAATGATATCAAAGCAAGAGACGAGAAGACGCTAGCGCTGAACACAGATTGAGAACACATGATAATAAAATTACTCGAAGGCCTGTTTACGGGAAAGGAAGGTTGGGGGGGGGGGGGGGCGCAGGTGGTATTTAAACAAAAGACATGAAGTAGATAGAGACTTTTAGACAGAGATGGAAAAGATTAGCAAGGCATGAAGTAAAATGCATGCTATGAGAAAAGGTAGGGTCTTTGGGTCTTTGGCTTTCTATCCCCCAATGGAGCATAGGCTCTCAACCAACTCACGCCAAGTCGTTCTATCCTTCGCCATTGCATGGAGCTCTCCCCATGTCCTCCCCATCTTTTTAACTTCATTTTCCATCTCTCTTCTCCATGTGTTTTTTTTTGCCTTCCTTTATTCCTATGCCCCTGTGGGTTCCAATGTAAAGACATTCTGGTTTTAAGCTGTTCTCCTGTTTTCTTAGTGTGTGTCCAATCCAGCTCCAGCGTCTTTTCCTCACCTCTTGTTCCACTGGAGTCTGTTTAGTTCTCTCCCAAAGCTCTACATTAGTTATCATATCATACTATTTAATTCCCTCTATTTTGTACTACTGGGGAGAAAAGGAATCAAGGTTACAATTTTACAAACACATTAGTAACATCCTCCTAAAGTAGCATTGGATCAGACACCTCCGCTTGGCGGATAAATATGAATATCAGTGAGACAGGTGCACGTTGAAAATCCCCACAAGATCGAAACAATGAAAAGACTTACCTCAATAGACATCCGCTTAGTTTTAGCGAGGCATTTCATGAGCAGAGACAAGAGGGAAAAGAAGACTTTGCAATGCATATCTCTGCACCCTCGCCGCTGCTACTAAGTTAGTGTGCTATTTTGATATTTTCTTTAAAGTGGAGCATTAATTACGATGCCTATGTATACAGTAAAGATAGTCCGGTGCAGACCAAACTAATATATAAACTAAACAAAATTACTAGCCAGTCCTGACCAAACTTCAAATCACCCACAAACTATAATAGATCTACAAAGTCAAGCTTAATGCTAGAGCAAACTAATACTAAGCCGAACTAAAACCTAACCAAAGCAGCCGCACTGCAAATCAAGTAAACAACAGACCAAACTAACACACACAATAAACTACAAACAAGCCAGATGGCTACGTAAAGGGCGGGTCAGGATCAGCATAAGCATATTCGCTATAAAGGATGCGGAAAACAAAAGTGGATGGTAGCGCTTACCAAGCAGCTACGTCAAACATGACCTTAGAGATAGCAAATGCTTCCAAAACACTCGCGTGGGCAGCAGAACAAATGACCACGTGTGGAGCAATCGTATCGGAGTTCAGAACATACTTCAGACAATCGCAGCA